ACTCTCTTCTCCTCCCACTGTAGACGAGCACAGAGGCAAACATTTTTTCTTTTAGCTGCAGTCAGTGTTTCCACTTTTTTTTTTTCTTTCCCTCCCTCTCTCTCTCTCTTTTGTTTCCTCCCTCCACTTCAAAACATGATTACTTGAAATGAGCAAGAAACCTATGGCACCAAAGCCCTGTAGTGGACCAACACAGGTGATGTTACAGACCTTTTCAAAGATGACTTGCAGTAGCAAAACAACTAAACACTCCCTCTTTCTGACTGTCACCCCAAGCTGGACTGACTAATGTGGAAGGTATGTGCTGAGCCTACAACCTCCGCCGGCGCTGGCCTCTGGAATTCTAATTCACATGAGGAACGCCCAACTTCACCAGTCACACCAAATCCTGCTGCTGCTGCGGCCCATTCTTTATTCTTAATCCCGCTGTTTCACTCTGTCCATCATTTACGCATGCTTAGCTCCAAGCAGTGCAGAAGGAGACAGAGTGGCAGGCGAGGTTGGACGAATGGTGGGAGGGGAAGCTAAATCTGGGTTGGCCATCAAAGAGTCTGGGTTTGGAGGAGATCAAAGTAGTAGGCCACACAGGTTTAAATCTAAACCATAAAAGGCCTGCAGGAGGACTTCAAGTGAGTACAACTATCCTAAATGTTACGGAGATTCTCTGAGAATTCCCTAAATGTGATGCTGCGTTTTCATTTCGAAACGTCTGCCTAATGCCAAATATACAGTGCAGTAAGATTACTGTACATAAGTGGGACTATGTTTAGCTGTTGTCTCACATCAGTGTTTCTGTTAGTGAAAGGGTTTGTCCAAATCAGGAGCACATTTTTTCCAAAATCCTGGTCCCTGTCAAGATGAGAACTGTGCTTCTTGCTCCTCCTCTTTCACTCGGGCTTCCCTCTCAATGCAAACGTTTTCTCTCTAACTTTAATAGAAAGAATAAAACATGTCGGAAGGTGCTTCTCCAGCATGGCAATCAATCATCTACCATTAAATGACACTGGAAAGCTACATTTGTGCTGTGAGAACAGCAGGCGCAACCTGTTCCAGAGTGCAAGACGATCCAGAGAAATTTCTCATATCAGTATCACATGTATTCATCCATTTTTCCACATGATACAGGCTGTTTTTTATAGGTGATCTGAGCTTGCTAAATCTAAGGTTTGTCATTTTTCTCATCAATAATATCCTAAAAACAACAATTATTCTCATAATCATACAGTATCAGAGGTACAGATTCACTGATTTCACTGATTGTGTCCAGCAGCTCCGCCGAATTAAAAAAAATGTCTCCCAGCTCACCACTGAAATGTTTGAGATCAGCTGTGTCCTGGGTCGACTTTTGTGGAATGCGGCTTTAATGTCTGAACTCTAATGTGGTCATGATTCAAAACAAACCACCATGACAAAAGGTCCTCATCCAGGATGACTGATAAAAGACTTTACATGGTAACGGGAAATCCTTGTGCAATTAAAATAATTAGAAAAAGACCGACCACAACAAACTAGGCTCATATTTCTCAGAGGGACGTGCCTGTTTGTTAAAAGGGCTTCAGTTTCCATGACACAGCTCTCCTGAGGAAAACAATTCCCATCAAGTGAATTCACTGCTTTTCTCTGAGAACTCAGGACAATCAGTCTTCCCAACGCAACTGCATGAGAGACCCGGCTCCCTGGAGACGCTGCAGCACGGCTTCACCAACAAACTCTAACTGATACCCAACGAGGCCAAAGAACAGAACATGGGGATACGTACAATGTTATCACAGTCTAATAGGGTAAAAATAATAGGAGGAAATAGAGGGGGTGCTTTGGGAAGCAAGCTCTATCTTATCAGGTAATGAATTGGTCAATAACTAAATAAAACACAGAGAACAATCTGATAATCAAGCTATAAAGGAAAATCAGAAACTCCAATGGCTCATACTTGAGGCCTGAGCTGGAGGACAAACCAACAAGCCCAAAGCTGTGTCAGCAGACTGCGGCTGCAAGTATCTGATATTATATCCATGGAACTCATAACAAAGGAAACTCCTGGTCAGAAATATGAGAGTAATAAAGCAAACTAATGATTACTATAACCCACTTTCATCTTTAAAGCACAGTGAATTAAAAATATAATTACACAATGGGAACTTTAACTGCTCCCTCTGCATATAATAAACATTTGTGTGAGTGTGTACGCGTCCATCATCGCATACATAACAGACTTTCCACAGAACTGGTTTGTTGCAGTGTACTCAACAGCACAACAAAGAGTATGTATACAAAAAAAAAGTGTGTGCGTGAGTATGTGTCGCACCAGTACATAGCCCCAAGGCCATTTAGTCACACACTACTTACTCATACCTCACAGCTCATATCGCATACAGCGGCACCCGAGTCATGCTGCGAGCAGAGCGTTTGCTCCTCCTCTGACTCTCAAATGACATGCACCTGCAGCACTGCACCTACGAATACGAGCTGCAGGCAGGGAGAGGTTAACCTTGGTCTTTCCTCTCTGTGCTCTGAGCCAACACCCACCGTCTATTTGCACTGAGTGTAGATTTACACAGACAGAGGAGGAGAGCGGGAGGGAGGGAGGGAGGGAGGGATATACCAAAGAAAAGAATGGAGAGGAAAGAAGGAGGTCAAAAGCTTACAATTGAACAACAACGTCAAGTCCAAAGCAGATATTTGAACAGTTCAACAGTTGTCCTTCATGATAGATCAGACAGGCTTCTTAGCTATATACAAGACCAATAATACAACTGATCTAGTGTCTGAAGTGTTAGCAAACCACTCCTTGGCTCTAGGCAGCCACTTAGCATCAGATTTCTCTATTGAGGGGTTCAGTGATTGTGTTGAACATTGTAAAAAACAAATCATATGATACGAACAGTTGTTAGTTTGACCTGGGCAGGGCAGGGTGTGGGTGACAAAAAGCATGGCAAAGTAAAATCGCTCTGTGATTGTATGTGCTGCTTTTATTTGGCCTCTGAGATTTCTTAAGAAAAGATGGTTGAAGAGACTTAGATGTAAGGTGCAAAAGTGGAGATGAATATTTACAGTCAGAGGTGAATGTAGGAAAAATAAAGGCTTCAGTTAAAGAGCAGCAGGTAGAAAAGTAGCAGTTGTTAATCAGAGTGGATAACACTCAGTATCAGTAGATTCACACGCAAGACAAATGCAGACTAACTCAACTCAAAAGTCTGCTTCCATATAGGCTAATGGTCAGCATAATTACATGCTCTACCAGGTTGTTACTACATGGCTGGGGCAACCTCAACCTAAGCTTGGGGTTGACTTGATGATTATTTGGGTGGGTGACGTGGGTGGCAAAAGGGAAGGGAGAGGCAAAAGGGTGGGATGCAGTCATCCAGACCTGACCGACCAAACCCAACCCAGACGTTAATCCCAGACTTGTGACAGCAAAATGGCGAGGCTTATCAAGTTCAGCAGTCTGTATATCTTCCCACAGATGGAAAAAAAAAAAAATACCCCTCAGCTCTCTGAAAAGCCCGAGGGAGGGGGGTTTCTCTGAAAACCACACAGCAGAGCAGATCAGCACATGCATGAGCCGTCATCCCCAGTCTCCATCCTCCCGCCACCACTGCTTCACCGCTATCGCCAACATAGGCACAACAAGGGACTAACACGCCGCCAAACACCACACACCATTATGCAATGCATGTCTGTCACGGGCCTGTGGCATTGACACAGTAAACCAATGTCCCACCACAGTGGTACATTCCGCATACACACATTATCAGTGGGGGTGTATCTGAAAACAGATTCTTGTGACGGTAGTAGTTCTCGCATTATCATTATCATTTTTTTCCCACCTATTTATTGATTGATTAATATATTAATTTGTAAATTCTTCTAATATACATTATTTCTATTGTTAATTTAAATATCAATTAAGTAAATACTAAGGAATTTCATCAAATTATTTGTGGATTCATAAATTAATGTGTAAAATATTTGATTAATTCCCATTTTATTGTACAATTAGATATTAATCAATGGAATGCTTTATACTTATTTTCATGACAACGTGGTCATTCTATCGTTTCCTTTTCAGTTGCAGTCATTACAGATTAAAGGCAAAAGACAAAGGGAGGACTGATGCTGATCACAATAACCACAATATCCGTCACTAATATGATTCATTTTTTTCAACATCTGATTATTTGTTCATTGCCCAGACGGGGGAAGGAGACAGAAACTAATATAATGATCTGCTCTAGTTACTACAGCAATGGAAGAGGGAAAAAAAGGCATACAGTCCCTTGAAAAATGAATCCTAACTGAATTTACATGCAAAACAATGGTGTGTGGAACACAAGTGGAAGTAATATCTTGAGAAATGCGGGGAAGTCTGTACATTCTTGAGAGGATTCCTGGCAGACAAAATACTGAAGAAAATGAGAAATAAGCGGGGCTCACACATGCATATCAAATTTCCATAAACAAACATTCAGCTTCCTGAGGCTCAGCAAAAGTCCGGCAAAGGTTTTTGGTGAGTGGGCTGGAGCATGCAGCAAGCCTGTGAGGAGAATGAGAATATTTCCTCTTGTGTTTATGGCCTTATGGTGCAAGTTCATGTCACACTGAAGCCCGGACAATATTCCAGTTGGGATCTGCATAAACAAACGTGTTGCTCTGTTAGTGTTGGACTCATGCATGGAAATCCAGTTGCTTCATTTCCATTTTAAAGATATACTGGGATAAAAAAAAACAAAAAAAACAAAACAAACTTCTGTGTTCTCCTGAGGATCTGTTGTCTGGTTAGAAACATGCGTTCGTTTCATTTGTGTATGCAAATAAACAAACGCGCTGGTCCCATTATTAAAAAAATCCCCAAGTTGATGTCATGGGCGCAAAACACACAAACACATGAGCTACTGGCAAGAAACTGCTGGCAAGAAAGATTTGATCGGAAGTTCTTGCTGACAACAGTAAGGTGCAGTTCCTAGATAAAATGCAGATCATGCTGACGAACCATAACTTACCAACTAAAACGCACAGCACGTCCATCACCACGTACAACTTCTTCTTCCTCAGATCCTTCATCTTCTTTCCGTTCATTTAGTTGAAAGTCAATAGTATAAGAGAGAATAACTACTTTTTCAACAAGATAAACAAGTCCATCGGCGGTCGCTCGCTTTGGAAAAGGAGTGCAGGCTAAGCAAACGACCTGGTAACCTGCACTACGAGTTCTTCCGGGATCCTCTTCGCTACCTGTGCTGACATTGACAGCATAGGTGTGTGTGTGTGTGTGTGTGTGTGGCTTTCTTCAAACGACAGCGTGTAAGAAACTTGTGGCTGAGCAGGTAAGCAGCACCTCTGGAGTCTTGCGTCCCTGTGCGCGCATTACTGTTTCAGAGACAAAGCCAGAACTGAAGAGATCCTCCGATTTCACAGAGCTGGAAGCGTCCGGTGAATCCAGTCTGCTGTAGACTCTTCTCTCGCTCCGCACACACCACCACATTGGTCCCTCCTTCCAACTTCCTCCTCTGGCTCCTCTCTGGCTATCTGATGGCCAGGCTCGGTTTTTTTTTTTTACGCACAGGCGTGCAAAGAGAAAGAGAGAAAACCTCCTCGCGGTTAGCTTAATTTTTTTTCTTCTCTCTGCCTTGCAAACCAACTTTTTTTTTTTTTTAAATGTCTGCTGTGTAGAAATAACTCAAACACTGTGAAGATCAGACCAAGAGGAGATGCGTGAGGGCAGTAAACGAGGTACAAACTTGCACTGTCAGGTCAAAGAACAGGAAGGAATAAAGAAAGAAAAGTCATAATATGAAATAAATGACTTACACTTGACCGCATTATCTGAAGTAATCTGGATTTAATCAATGGTGGGGATTTAAATGCACTGTTAAGGCTGTGACTCAGCTCTGCCCCCATTTCACAAGTCATCAGAGCTGAGAGCCCTACATGATCTTATCCCATCATGCACTTCTCATTAAAGCCCCACAGGGCAAACACTTGAGCTGCTCAGTTCTGTTGAATAGGCTACTTCACCTTTTCCTACTCTTCTCCCTCTCATGAGAGTGATTAATGTGGGAGCGGACTCGAACGCAAACAGATTCTAAATAAGTTCCTAACATCTTAGTCATCACCTTCATGTCACTGGGAGGTGGTGGACCCACGCTGAGCACACTTGGTGGGTGTCCAAGAAAATGTAGAGGACAAAACTTCCAGCTCATCAAAAGCAGAGACTTTTATACGCCCTGCTGGGGCTGTGGCTAAATTAACATGACTTAACACCAGCATGACTCCAAGCCAGAGTGCTATTTTGCTCCAGGCAGTCAGGATGTAGCCTCACCAGCGGCTAATACCAGGCCACCACTTGCTGGCTGCATACAGCACTTTAGAGGCATGAGTGTGTATTAACAATTAACTCTGTTTGCTTGATAAACACCATGTTTATCCCCAAGTCTATTGGTTCAGCACCCTTGAATAAACAGGTAATCTTACATGCACATGCTGTATTCCAGCTTTATTTGACTTTGCACATGCACATTTGCAACACCAGTAACATATAAATGAATATCTAGGTACAAAAAAGAACAGCATGGAGTATAACAGTACATGGAAAACATTTAAAACTGAAATTTCTCTGCCCCCTTCTGGTTGTTTCTTGACAGATATACTCAGAGACAGGAGAAGAATGGTCTCTGGTCCACACAATATATTTACTATTATTTCTTCATACATTTTATTCACAAAGATATTGTGCTGTGACAGTCTTCTTCATCATACAGACATGTGTCTCACTTCATCAGAGCAGAACTTTTTCATTGTGTTCAGAGTTGGAGATCCAGGCAATCAGGCTGCTGAGGGCAGGGTCAGGAACTGGAGGCCAGATATTGTGTTTTATCCAGGGAGCATGCAACAGGCACTGTGAAGGGTAGTCCTGACATTTTAACTCTCGTTCAGAAGGTCATTAATTGCATTGTGATACAAAAAAAAGCTTCTACATTGGTGCGTTAACCTTCAGAACAAATGGTCTTTGCTAGCTGTGTGCAAAGAAGACAGTTTTTAACCTGAGATAACCTTCGCTGGCGCCAATTAGATATATTTCATGCAAGCCCCTTTACTGTACATTTGTCGGAGCTACATTTAATGTTCCTCGCTGGGCCACTGATAGCTACCAGTTACACTGCTAGCCCCATGTTGTTTTATAGTCGACTCATTTGGCCTCATAATCAGTGTATTATTTACATGCAGAGCTGATTAAGCAGGGGAAGCAATGCAGCTATTTGCTGCATGTAAAGATCACTTTTATTCAAACAAATCTATTGTAGTTTAGTTATTCTGGCTTGTAAGAAATATATACTGTCTATCCTCTGCTGCTAACTGACTGCAGAATAGTGAAAACATTAATATTATTTAGCTTCTCTCCCACATGCATCTTATGTTGCCGCTTTGCATTTATTCTCCCTAAATACATAACTTGCACAATTACAGCGTAGCTCCTAATCAGCCGGTGCAACCTGGCCTGGAGAACAGGAGGTCAGATGAGATAGAGGGGCAGTTGCAGTTACGTCACTACGTCTTTTCCTGCTCTTCCACATTCCACATGCACCTCTTATATTGAAAACATGTGCTAATGTAGCTGTAAATCTACTACTCTGACATACCTAAACAAGTTCAAGCCTTTATCTTCATGTTCTGCCACTCAACTGAAAATGAAACTGTATGCCATGCTGCTGAGAATCCACATAGCCCCTGAATGCTACGTAATGTGATTCACATGATCTAACTGACCCTCTGTTTGACTCCTTGGACCAGCTGGGCACATTAGCTTCCCCGGGAACATCTAGAGGTATTAAGGAACTACCAGAATGAGTAGTTCTATGAGCCATTTAATATTACTCTTAAGCAACTGTGGGGACATGAGTGAAATTGATGTATAAGAGCTCCAAAAAAAAGTCTCAGTCTATATTTCACTACATTACATATCGCACATATCACACTATATTTAGAGTACAGTAATTCCAGTACATTTATTGTATGGTTGGTGATAAAAACAATAGGTCTTCCTAGGGTTTTCACATCATTTTGTATTCATAGAGTTTATTAGAAATTTTGGCTCTGAAAAAATTTATATAAAAAGTAAATTATCGGTCTATAAAGAAAAAATAAAAACATATAACAAAAAAAAAATATTGTGGTTAAAAGAGAGTGATGGTTATAATGCTTAAAATGATATGGACACATTAATTCATTTTTTAATTTATCTATCTATCTATCCAGCACTACTTCACATATAGCATTATAAACTGGCAGATCGTCTCACCTTTGCCTACATGCAGTAATGTAGTCATCACAAGCAAAACCACAATGATCACGGGAGGAAGGACACAAACCAGGATGGTCCTCTCTGAATATTTGCTCTCGGGCAAAAACACACTTTCATTAACAAACACACAATCACAAAGACCACATTCATCATGTAATTTAAAAACATTTCAACCAAAATAACAATAATGCAAAACTGCAAAACTCTTGGCTCTCACATACAGTGACCCAAAGAGGTGGAGCGGCTCCTCCCTCTCCTGCCTCCGTGTCAGCTGTCATATAGATCTGATCGACTCCAGACAGACCAGTCAGGCGGTAGTGCAGCTTCTCACCTGACAGCGTTTGCGCTTCATCTGCAACACAACAAAGTGCATTTCAAACATTTCCTTACTGTATCTAAGTGTGGTTGAGGGTGTGTGTCTCTGTGTGCGTTTACCGACTTGTTGCGTTGTTCTCCCTCTGACAGTAGAGGCTGTATTGGGTGATGAAGCCGTGCTGCTCCTGCACAGGCAAAGGCGCCCACTCCCATGAGAAATGCACTGCTGCTCTGCTCCTTCACCTGCAGCCTGGGGCCACTAGAGGGCACTAGAGGACCAGGCAGAGGGGAGTAAAGGAGAGAAAGCAGAAGAAAGGGTGGGATGAGGTGGTGGTGTTGACAGGAGCTGACTGAGGAGAACAGTAACTATGCTGCAACAAATACACCACTCAGTGAATGTTGTGTTTTATTCTTTTCTTGCTTTTAAAAACCCTCAATTTGACTAAAGAGTGAGCGTGGTAAGATGTGCAATGCATTTAATTTGTCGATAGATAATCGCTGTATTTTCTGTGTCCCTGCATAAAAAAATCTTTACATTAAAATATCACTTGGCTTAGTATGCCTGCCTCCTGCTTTAAATAACACACACCAATAGACAACTGTCTGATAAAATGTTAAAAGTATATACATTATATACAGCACACTGAGGTTTGGTCAAAGTTATTACACTCGTCCTATGTCTACAGGTACATTACCTCCTTGTCTGGTGTAAGTCTGTGTGGAAACTGCTTCTCCGTGCTCACTGCCAAACAACACACTCACAACATATTGCAATTCAGACAACAAATCTGCAATTACAATCAGAATAACTATTTGAATACAAAACTTTCCTTGTGCATGATTCAAACGGCATCTGGCATAGTGAGGAATTTACTGGTTCACTGGTATAGATTTCATAGGAAAAGAGATGATTTAGTGACAGCATGACTTCAAAAGGAAAAAGGCGGCTAATTTTGCATGCAGAGCCTTACTTCCCTGATAGTTAGCCTCTGACCCCAGAAACATCACGTCAGGAAAACGACAAAATAGAGTCAGTGTAAACTGTAAATTATTGATTGACTGATATTCTTAATTTCTGTTCTAGCATTGGTGCTCGTATGAACTGCCTGTGGAACAACACAAAAATCTCTTTAAAGAGCTGGCATCAAGTGATGCCATCCTACCTCGGTAAAGTCCTTGAAAGTCTTTAATAGCAGCTAGATGATAAGCTTACCAGTGAAGATCATGCTGCTGGTGTTGTGGCTCAGTCTCTCCCAGTGCAGCTGTTGACCGTCGGTTTTTGTCACATATTCCCACTCCAACAGGAAGCCAGTGAGTGAGGGATGTGCGACCATGACCATGTAACGTCCAGACTGAGGCCTTTTTTTACACTGACTGTTGTCATGGCTCTGAGTGCTGACAGAAAATATCATGCTGTTTAAATACAAAGTTTCACATGCTTTAACAAATAATACGGTCTTGGTTATCGTTGTGATTTAAGACTGATACTCCAAAGTAGATTTTTGTAAACAGAGTATCTGTACTTTTAATTCAATCGAATAGCGAATGGAGACTTAGCAGTGTATATGCACGTCTGTGGGTGCTGGGAGGGTCAGCTGGGCTGCAGGGGAGTTTCCAGCAGAATTACACATGACCAAGAAGCAGGAGAAGCGCTCCATGGGCAGAGTCAGCTGACAGGAAGTGTCTGTCACGCTCAGGCAGTTTTCCGTTCGCAGGGCGCTGTGGGAGCCTTCTCACTGACAGTAAACATGAAACCACAGGCTGGTGCAGACTATCTGACTCTTTGGAGGAGAGTGGATGGGAGATGATATTAACACTGAGATTAAGAGTGAGGTGGTCACCATCAGCTGACTTGCCAACTTTGACACTGGTGTTCAAAACACTAACTTA